TTCCACCACACAGAGCTCAACAAGCAAACCATTCAAGAGTTATGAAGGACGGGAACATGACCTCTGAACCCGGCATGGTGAAGTATTGAGCTAGAGGATAAAAATGAAGCATCCCAACGGAGGATAAAAATGAAGCATCCCAACGGAGCGATGGTGAAGCAGACGCCCAACATGACTCGTTCCTGGAGGCAGAAACTCGTTGACACCAGGCGGATTCAGACCAAACCAAGTGGGGAAACTTTCATTCGCAGACATCGTCTGTTTGGGAATTCAAAGCCACGGGACTGAATGGACCCGGAGCGTCGGGATCCAGTTTGTAACCAAACAGTGAAGAGAAGCAGGACAACAACGGCTGCATGTTTGTCTCTCAGGACGTGGCTCTGCTTTGGCTCACGGATGTTTCCTCAGCCTCAGATCTTCAGGGTCATAAAAGAGGAAGACGACTTGAAAATCAGAGTGGATGTTAAGTTTGTCGAGACAACAGCTTTCATAAAAAGATATTTGCAGCGAACGCTGGCCTGAGGGGAAATGAACTCCTAAAGATGAAAAGGCTGCAGCTCCATTATTGCTCTCTTCAAATAACCTCCAATTACCGGGACCAGGAGGTCCGTAAAGGGGTCAGTCCAGGCATAAGCACATTGTGAGAAGATAACCTGATTATGTAATTCAATATTTTTCTGCAGCCGAGAACAAAGGCGGTGGTGATCTAGGCTTTAGCCCGGCTGATCTTTCAGAAAGACTGCTTAGCGAGAAAATAATCTCATTTGTGAACTAGTGAACTCGCTTTTCTGTATTCTGCCTTCATACGAGGCGGCAGTGGAGCACAAACAAATCTTCTTATGGAGCCTGCAGCCTGTCTCTGTGTCTCACTACCTTTAATCATCTACTCAGCCGGTTCCGGCCCGCAAGGACTTTCTGCTTCAACATGAAGCTTGGCACCAGAGTAAAAAACACAAAGTGGTCTTGCCAGTTGCCCCCTGGGGTTCCCAAAGTTAGCTGGAAGTTCAGATGGCGACAAGCTTCACCTCCATAATCCTTCATTTATTCTTGTCTGCCTGCCCAGAAGAAATGCACAATCCTGTCAGTGACTGTAGCTCAGTGATGTCAGCATTAATCCGACTGCAGTCTGTTTGTCTAGAAAGTCCGGTTTGTGTGGGGAGACGTGACCCACTACAGAACCAAACTCTGGTCCTCCAGACCCAGGTTGGGTTCGGCTGAAGTGAACTCTGGTTCAGTTTGAATGTGTGAACACCAAGCAGACCAGAGACCGCTCCAAAAGCAGGAAGTGGACTGCAGCGCAGGGCATTCTGGGTAAATCCAACCAAAAGTGCTAGCCTAGCACTAGCAGCAGAAATGGCTCACAGTCTTTAACCAAACCCTCCAACCGCTGAAATCTGACGCCTCCATCTTGTTTCCATCTGGTGAAACAGGAAGTTGCTCTCAGTGTCTTCAGAGGTTTCTGTGTCGTTTCCTTCAGAGGTTGTTGGTTCAGCGCCCCCACAGGCCAGGAGGGGAACAGGCTGGTTTGACTCAGAACCACAGCTGGTTCTGAGTCAAAGTACCACTGCTCCACCTCGGTGGAGTTTTTGTCTAAAATAATGGATTTGTGGAGAAAAAAGTTTTTTGTTTGGGAAACACCGCCAGGCTGAGTCTGGCAGGAGTCCAGAAACACCGCCAGGCTGAGTCTGGCAGGAGTCCAGAAACTCCGCCAGGCTGAGTCTGGCAGGAGTCCAGAAACACCGCCAGGCTGAGTCTGGCAGGACCTCTGCTTGGTCTGAAACACAAAGGTCCTGTCTTTATGCAGTCAGAGGCTCTGCACTTACACAGGGATAACAGAAACTCACAGAACCATTTATTTTCTGGTTTTGATAAATAAATCATGAGTCGAAGTTTAATGCATGGAAGCTGCTGAGGATGAAATGTTAACCTCAGATTAAAATCCTGTTTCACTGAGTCCTAAAGCGTCTCTGATGGACGGTTTGTCTCCTGTTTCTGCCTTCACTCACTCAGAGGTCAAGAACAGAAACATTAAAGTCTTCGTCCCCAGAGGATGAAGACTAATTGAAAGATAAAGAATCATTTTCCTGGTTGGATTCAGCTGAGCTTCACCCATCAGGCCTCCTTCCTGTTGAACGACGCCTTTTATTTTTAACTACTGAGGCATTAATACCAAAGGAAAATTATTCCACAAACATATTGTAGAAACAGCATTTCTCCATGTTTCTGTGGTGAAAGAGCCAAACAACAGTCAGTCTGGTCTGCGTGACGCATGCGCCCAACTTTAACTGCATGATTATATTCAACACAGAGATTTTCATTTCAAATAGATTTAAATGTCCTGGCAGCTGGACTAAACCACAGCAGTAAAGATCTTTCAGTGAAATATTGTTTCTTTATGACAGGAAGAAAATCAATAAGATGTTAAAAACCCAGTTTTTTAAAAGTGATTAGAAAGTTTCAGTGGCTCCTGAAACCCAACAGCAAAGAAATGATTTATTTCAACAAAACGTTCTTCAGCTAAATTCATCATTTCTCGTCTGTGAATTCTGATTTTTGGCTTTTTTGATTGTTTTTTTTTTCACTGTGATGTAAACAAATCAAAAAGGCATCAAGATCAGATGAACAGAAACAAAACCTGAACAGGCTGGAGAAAACTAAAGCAAGAAACTGAGAAATCTACCAGAAAATTATTACAAAATCACAATTTCTAGAATTACAAACTGCTGGAAAATTCAACAATATGTTTTTTATTCATTATGAAGTTGAAAACTTTTCTTTTCCTAATAAATCGGAGAAGAATACACCAGGAGCAAAATTTTAAGGTGATCCCTCAAACTGTCCAGAGGAATCAGCAAAGAGACCAGGAGGAGAAAAGCTGAAAGCCTGAGAACGACTGCATGGCAGCGGCAGCATCATGATGCGGGACGGACGCTTCACAGCACAGAACAGGAACAGGATGTGGAAATACTGAAGGAAGACATGAGATTTGGTCTGATGTCAGTCAGAGGAGAGGAAGCCTCAGCCTGCAGAGATCTGGAGCTCAGATCGCTTTGTGTTACATTCAGGGGAAACGTGTTCAATCCAGAGTCAGAAAACTGCTGTCCACAAAATCAGAATGATTTTTCAGAAGTGGCTCATAAAACAGAGAGGAGGAGCAGAGCAGAGCCAGCCGAGTCTTTACCATTTAAACCATGAGGAGGAAGGAAGCGGTGACCTCCAGGCGAGGAGGAAGGAAGCGGCGACCTCCGGGCGAGGAAGCTGAACTCTGAGGTTTCATCTTTAATGAGCCGCAGCAGCGACCAGCTGTGAGACAATTTGGACCTTCAGTAAATCTGATGCCTCATTTTTTAAAACTGCAGAGGAAAATAATATTATCTGTGTGTTTAAGTTCATCCAGAGGTTAAAGACAAGCAGCTCCATCTGCAGCTACAGTCAGCATTTAATCAGCTGCTTAAGTTGCAGTAATAAATTCTTCAGTTTGTTCAGTAGCTAGCAACAGCCTTCCTGTTATCCTCTGAAAGTGTGGCTCTCTCAAAATGACAAAGTTCCACTGGAAGGTTTTTTCTCTTGTCCAAAAACATTTTGTCCTGTTGGAGGTGAAATAATCTCCCAGAGAAACTAGAACTTGTTTATTGACTTTAGAAAATCTCCCATTTCTTGCTGAAAAGTTCCCTGAGTTTTGTCGTATTCCGAGTGTGCTGAGATATTTTCACTGACCTGTTTGGTAGTTTAGTGTTTTTGCGGCGCGGTTCCTGTCAGACTCCATCCTGGGTCTGGTTCTGTTTCACCAGCTCCATGTCTGCTGCCTTTAATTATTTTTCATTATTTAAAACTTTCTGTCAAAAAGTTACAATGTTTTGTTGATTTTCAATTCAAGAGCAACTATGTCTGCAGAAAAGTTTGTTTCCTTTAATTCCAAACCAATAATCAGTCATGATTGATAATCACCTCCATCTTGTTTTGGCTGCCTGCAGGTTTCAGATTCACTTGTTTCTGTTTGAATTATCCGACTGAAAGTCACATTAGTTCAAATGTTTCTCAGTTTCTCTGAGTTGTTCTCTGTCCTTGTTGCAGGAAGCAGTTTTTAGCTCCTTCCTGCTTGTGTTCGAGAACATCTCTGTTCTCAGATGAGCGCCGATGCATTTCCATTTACACAGCCTTGATTTAAGGAAAGATGTGGCCCTGCAGAAAAAATAATGTAATGAGCTCCTTAATCGCTGCATGGAGAAAGTTTGGAGAGAAGTGAGTGATTAGTGAAGCTATCTGCTCTGGGAATCAGCCTGTAGTTGCAGCTGCCTGCATGTTTGAACATATTTCAGCTGCAAAATCTCTTTTCTCCGTGTCTGAGCTGAATGAATGAGTCTCTGTGTTTTCAATGAAACTTTAAATGCTGAAACAAAACCTACAGAAGAAAAACCAGAAGAATGTTTTAAAGATTTAAGGACCGATTATTTGGTGAATATTTCTACCATTGAAGTTTGTTTTTCTCTACTAAATATTTCTGAACATCCATTTCTGTTTTTCATGTAAACAACAGAGGAAACCTGGAAGGGCTTTATTTGGGCCAGCTGACTGACAGTGTGCAGCAACAGGTGAGGGAGGGGAATCAAACTGAAAAAAGTTTCCTCTGACACTTTGAGGATTTCAAGAGAAGGAAACAAACTGTTTAGAAACGTCAGCTCCTCATCTTCCTCCAGATGAGATGCAACATGAGAAGTATTAATACACAAAGCAGGACTTATTATTTTTACATCAATTAAAATGATTGAGTCCAATTACACCAGCAGAAGAAGAAGCATTTATTAAAACGCTGAAATATTTTATCTGAACAGAAACCTGATGAACTTTCTGCTCTCAGTATTATAAAAATAGCAGCAGCAGCCAATATGGTGTTATTAATAGACGGAGTGTTTCCGTCTGAACAGAGCAGGATGAAAACCTGCTGACCAGCCACACCCAGTCAATCAGAGAGCTGACTAATTAAAGGAAAGTTCACCGACCTGCGCGGCCATGAAGGACAGATCCATGCTGCTGCTGCTGCTCCCAACAAAGGCACTCAGTGAAGGATGCGACTCTCAGTCTCTCTGCCTCCCGCCGCTCACAGCATCCAGCCGCTCCGACACACAGCGACGCTCAGGCTGACCCGCCTCATGTCACAGAGAGACATGGTGCTGGGACTGAGGAGGAAACCCCGAGGAAGAGGAGGAGAGGCGAAGCGAAGAGGAGAGGGACGGGGAGAGACAGGGAGGAGGAGGAGGAGGAGGAGGAGGAGGAGGAGGAGGAGGAGGAGGAGGAGGAGGAGGAGGAGGAGGAGGAGGAGGAGGAGAGGAGGAGGAGGAGGAGGAGGAGGAGGAGGCTGTCACATCATAACAGGAGGTGTGAGTCCTCTCTCTCTCTCTCTCTCTCTCTCTCTCTCTCTCTCTGGTTCCTCATAACATCTCATCCATATTCCTCCAGTCAACATGTGTGAAATAAAACATTAAAATTAATTGTTTTCCAGCAGCAGATTTTATAAAATAAAATGAAAATACCAAACTATTAATTTTCTTCCAAATGACCTCGATGGAAAACGGATCCATGGCTGCAGCAGCAGCTCAACTGGCAGCAGTTGTGCTGCTGGTTCTGCTGCTGGTTCTGCTGCAGCCATGCAAACGTCCATCAGGTCCAATTCAAAAGAGCAGTAACAGTTTGACCCGTTTAAAGGAACCGGATCTGTTCGGTTCCCTCATGGCGCCTCCTGCATGTGTTAAATCTTTCTTTCAGTGGTTTGACACATTTCCTCCCTCTGCCTGTAACAAGGCGGCCGGTGGCAGAGGAGGAGGAAGCAGAGGATTTATTGGTCCAATTCAGGACAAATCCTCCACCAGCACCAGAAACCCTCTGATATTCTCCTTGGGTTTTTATGGCGGTTGGCAAACAGCTTTAAGGTGCATCAGCGCCACCTTCTCCATCAGAGTCTGGACAGACGCCATGACGCCTCCAGATCGTTTCCAGAATATCTGTTCTGAACTAAAACTCTGGACTAACTGCGTCCCCAGACGACCTCTGGACCACTTCCTCCACTTCTAATTTACTTTTATTTGATTGAAATTTTCAAGTAATATCTGATGTGTATTTGAAAATATATTCTGTTTTTCCGTTTGTCCTCAGTGAAGGACAAACGGACAAAGTGTTTATTGTTTATTGATAAATATTTTAAGTGTTTTTTAATTGTGTGACCAAATCTCATACTTCATTAATGAATCATTTCTTTATTTTTTAAATTCCCCGACTTTCTTCTGGATATAATCAGATCCAGCATTATCTCTTCTCCTGTTGCTCTTCAACTATGATTTGACTATACACTTATGACTGTGAAGGACTAAACCTTTCGCTCAGGTGAGTTTGCATCTTGCAGCGTCCATCTACAGAAATAAAATACGTTTTAACAAATATAAATAATATAACTAAATAATGTAAATATTTAATATTTTAGCCTTGCATGTGTTTCTCGGCTCCAGTCCTCTCTGCCCTGCAGGTGTTTCCCTTCTGCCACACCTGGACTGAATCTGTGAGTGATTAACAACCTTCTGCAGGACTTGATGTTTCATGAAATCATTTGAATCAGCAGTTCTGGAATAAAGGCAAATCTAAAACATGGAGAGCAGGGAGGCCTGAGGACTGGATTGAGAAGCGCTGATCTAAACCTTTTTCCTCTCTCCGTCTGTCCCAGGAACTAAAAATGGAGTTTGTGCAGCGGGGGACGGATTTGTCCAAACAGCCTGGAGGACAAAGAGAGGCAGGTGAGTCAGGACATGTTGGCTCCTTCAGGTCTCTTCTTTACACTCATATGAGTCAAAAAACTCCTCACAACATGATTTCATATTTTACTCCACACTGGGCCTTATTTGCTCTCAGTAATTATTTTATTCTCTTCCTAATGCAGTAAAAGTCTCATGCTAATTATCCAAATCCTCTGTAAATATTCAATATGCAGCTAAAGGATCTCGTGTGAAAATGGTTTTTGATGAGCAAATCAGTGCGCAGCTCTTAAAGGAGCCGCGTCTGTTTTATTCACCAGGGCAGCTGGAGGTCAAAGGTTGATTAGAGTCTCAGTTGATATTATATCATTTATATTTCATTTTTATAACATTTCCAGTTTCCAGCTGCAGTTTAAATGTTGCACTAAGACGGCAGCAATTCTTTATCTAAACTTTTGATCCTGATGACATTAATAAATAAAAATGACATTTTTTTTCTGTTATTGTATCTTTCAGCAAATATAAATAATTTCATGATTTGTTGGTAATGGCCTGAAACAAGAGACGTTTGTTCTGGTTCAACCTCAGGCAGTGAGAGTGTATGTAAACTTTTGGTTCAGAGGTTTTTCATCTGGTGACACGGGAGGATAAAGTTTTTCCCCAGATCAGCAGTTTGTCCCACGGCCGTTTCCCTTTCTGGTGAGCATACAGGAAGTGATGGGAAGCACTTCCTGTTTCTGCACTAATCCAGGATTTAACTGCTTCCTGTGGGAATTCTGTCTAATATGAACTCAAAACAAAAAAAATGCTTCTTTTCTCATGGAGATGAAAGTCTGAACAGGAAAACCAATCAGGAGAAAGGATGAAAGTAACAAGACGCCCACATCTTCACACTCCACTGATGAAGGAAGGGAGGCAAGAAATCTAGTTAAAGTAAACGGCTTGTTTACTTTAAAGCTGCTTATTAAATTACAATATGCTAATATGCAGCATTGTTGAAGTTAAGGGAAGAACTGCAGCTCAGCCAGAAGTGACAAAATCCTCCAGGCTCTGCAGAGTCAACAGCTACAAACCCAACGTTTCTCCAGACCGGATCAGAACCGGCGTCAGGTCGGTTTCCCTGACCGACGGCTGCAGCTCGGCTCGGCGCAGTCTGAGTTTCACATGTAAAGTTTGGTGGAGGGAAGAGCACAAAGTGAGCTGGGAAATTAAAAAGCGTTAATCGAGTCACGTCGTTGAGGAGGAAATGTGAGTAAAATCAGGTCCAAATGAAACGTGGAAACTTTTGCAAAGATTTATAATTTACAGACGTGCATTGAATTCAATAAAATTAGTAAAAACGGAAACCTGTTCTCATAACCTCTCATAGTTATGAGATAAAATGATTATTTTTCTTTGGTGAATGCAATATGCTGCTGTAATATTTGACAGTAAAAGATTATTAAAAGTTTTAGGTTTAATTCTGGAAGAATAGTGAAAAAATCCCACAAACACATTTGGGACCTCAGAGAAAAACGAAAACAGAGCTGAAGGTGTGTGAGCTGGTCTCCATAGTTACAGCTCACATCTTTACTGAGGCCGTTTGGTGCTTTAGCTGCTGGCAGATAAAAGTCTTTAGTCCTAAAATATAATCTGAAGTTTGATTCTCTGACTTTGTGCTGCAACAGTAACAGCTCAGCCCACATTCACACTCCAAGTGTTTGTAGGTCATTTCTCAGTTTCATGCACTCAATGTAGGATAAAGTCTTTGTTTGCTTTGCCTCAACTGATGCATAGTGAAGAAGGCAGGTGATTCATAATTGATGCTCCGCTGACTGCGTTGAAATAAATCGTGTATGCGTGTGAGAGGAATGAATTCTGAACAATGTTATTTCTGTCTCACTTTTGGATCTGATCACTCCGAACCCGTTTTAGGGACTGGAGAGTCGCTGAAACCTTTTTCTTTCTTCAGGATTCAGCAGATATTTTCCTTTTTCTGTCAGTAGAGAAGAAGAAACTCTGAATCTGACCTTCTGCACAACAACCACAGGATAAACGCATCCATTTCAGTTCTGTCACATTCAGAAGAAACCCTTTGTTTCTGCAGACGTTAATTATTTATTTCAACTTTATTTAGTCAGAAAGCTCCTGTTGAGATCCAACATGTCCTCCAGGGGAAACCAGTTTGATCCCGGGAAACCAGGTTGATCCTGGGAGTCCAGTTTGATCCTGGGAGTCCAGGTTGATCCTGGGAGTCCGGCTGGCTCCAGGTTCCTGTTGTTCTGCAGACTCATCCATCACTGCCAGTCATGACAGAAACGTGTTCAGATCTGCAAACAATGGCAGATTTCTGAGTAACGTTAGTTTTTATGGCCGGTAAAACTGGGTCGTTCTCTTTTTTTCATTATTTTGCTCGTTGGTTAAGTTATTTATTACAGTTACTGTTTAGGTAAATCTGTTGTAAAAAGAATTACATAAATTTCTTGCTGAGTTTGAGAGTTTTATCATCTTCCTGAGTCCAGTCGGTGCTGAGCAGCCAGAACTCAGATCCACAGACGGAGGAAGATTTGCATAATATTCTGACACAAAGGCTCCTGAACAATGGAGCAAATGCAAACCTGCTATAAACAGAGGAGAGGAGAAAACAAATCATCTGATCCTCTGCAGTCTGACAAATTGTCTCTTGTTTTTTTTTTTTATTTCCTTCTTTACTTCAGATTAAAAGTGTAAAACTTTTCTTCCTGTGTTCTGATCTCTGATCTGCTTCACCTCCCTAAACCATGAAGCAGCATAAATAAAAAAGTCTGGGTCTGTAAATAGTTGGATCTAAAGAATCTGGGATGGAAAACGGTGCTGGTTGGATATCAGAGGCTGAAACTGCTGGTTTCCTGTCACAGTCTGTTGGTTTGTTTCCAGTTTTTGTCTTCAGAGAAATGAGCCAAATGTCTTCCTGCCAAACCAGTAACTTCACATGAAGTCCTGCTTGTTGCAGGTTGCAGGATGTTTACATGAAGCCTGTTCTCAGTCTGCTCTGTTTGAAACACAAAATATAAACTCAAAATGGCTCCCAGCTTCTTATTGTTTGTGCTAAAGATCCGAATAACCAGCGCCTAAAGTTTTTTATTTATAGGGAATATGACTCATCATATATTTATTTAATTTGGTCATTTAGTTCATTTCAACTCCACAATTCATGAAAAGCGGCAGCAGGAGGAAACGGCGGTTCTGGCTGAGTGGTTCTGTAATGAAGCAGACAGGCTCTGGGCTTTTTCTGCTGAGATCAATTTTTCTCTGTCAGACATCGACCAGCACTTTGCTTTATCCTGAATTTATGTCATATCAGTTTGATAAAACTGACTTTTACCAAAGTCCCTAAGTTTACATTTCTTCATGGATTTGAGAAACATAATTAAAGATCAGTGAGTAAACAGATATATTCAGATCCAGCTGTGGTTTTAACACTCATTATCTATCAGCCAATCAGAGGAGATGTTGAAG